AAACTTGCAAAAGGTATAAAGGAGTCATATTTCAGAAGAACAGATTGGCCAGGTTAGTAACAAAGAAAACAGTACGTGTTTAGAGGGAAAACCTACAAAATTACTTTGGCTGATAAATTTACATTAGACTACTCATAATAGTAAAACAAGTTTATCATAATTATTATATTCACAAGATCATGGCATAATTTCAAGTAGAATTTGTTGGTGAGTCCAATTTTATGGGGAATAATGAGTGTTTTATCCTAGGGAAAAACAAGACCAGTCAGGGTGATTTGCTTTTTGGATTATCTCAGGATGCATTTTTTTTTTTTTTTAAACTGTGGAATGGGATATTCTTTGAGGTACTGAAATCAGGACAAATTGTTTCTGCTTCCACAAAATGTATAATTTTACTTGTTGATTGTTCTATATTACTCCCTTACTCTGAATTCATAAAATTTTGCACGGTTAATATAAAGGATTTTGCATGCTTGATTTATTTGGTATGCTTCTTCAAATATCTTCTGTGTGTGTGTGTGTGTTAATTACTCTAGCCTAAATGTGAATGTTCTCATATTTTTGTCATCCCATCTAACATAGACTGGTACCCTTTAATTATTACTAGTTGCTACTGTGTCAATTCTGACTTGTGGCAACCCTGAAATGTGTGGTAAACCCACTGCCATAGAGTTGAGCCCAACACACGGCAACCTAATAGGACAGAGTAGAACTGCCACATAGGGTTTCCAAGGTTTCTTTATGGAAGTACATTGCCTCATCTTTCTCCCACGGAATGGCTGGTGGGTTCCAACCACTGACCTATTAGTTAGGAGCCAAATGCTTTAACCACTAAGCCACCAGAACTCCAAAATGTGTGTAGGTATCCCGTAATCAACCATCTATGCTAATTTTTCACTTAACAAGTTACTAAAGCCAGGCTTCAGCCATAATAAACCTCTGTCTTACAAGAAATACTGATAATTAAAAAAAAAACTTAAAATAAGTTGCATAAGGGTGAAGTAAAAGAAACAGGGTAGTCACTTTAAAAGATTTAAAGACAATATAGATAAATCAAAGTTAAAGTTCTCATAAAAACCAAAAAGCACCCTTAAAGCCATGTGCTAAATTTTGAATGTTGCCACTATAGGTGGTGATATTAAATTTCAAACTGGCTTAAGTATCAAAACTAAAGAGTGCCAGATATAGAATTAAGTTTATAACTTTATATTTTTCCCTTTATCACCATTTTTAACACACTCTTAAAAGTGGATTTCATTAATTTCCTGGAATACTTAGTAATGTTAATTTAAAGTTAAATTTTCTAAATATTTCTGTGGGTACAGGAAATACCATTCTAAAAACACAATTGTTAGTAAGTCACTCCCCAAAATATAATCATAAAGAGATTAGCTTTTACGTAATTACTGCCAATTAGTAGATAGATACAGATACGTATTCATGAGATAACTCAATACCAAACCTGTGGCTGAAAGTAAGCAATATTATTTTACTGTGATTTAAACTTTTCAACCTACCCATACCCTACAAATTACTACACATATAGTATGAAAGAAGAAATATCTTTGCGTCATTATATACCGTTGTTGTTTTCTTTTCTTTTCCAGTCCTTCTAAACTTTATTACTCAGCTTGGATATACAGAATTTCACAGCAAGTATCAAAATAACTATCCCATAAAGTCGGTTATATCAATAATTTTGTAGTAACAGGAACCTTGAATGCTGACTCAGTTTACACAAAACATGCATACAACAAATGATGGTTAAAATGAATAAATTAAATGAAAACTAACAAGAGTTTCTGACTTAGCTTTAAACATTCTCACACTAATACCTACAAACAACTGTATTGTGAGCACCTTCCTGAAAGGTGTCAGCTGTTTCCTTTGTTTTTAAGACAAGCAGAAAGAGAAGGACTAAAAGTCACGTTTCCAGAGAAGAGTGTGGGTAGGATAAGACTGGTACACATCAGCATTCAGACATAGGAAGTCAGTCAACATTTTCTTCTCTGATAAACCTCTATTTGCAGAGTAATAAGGGAGTTACGAACACACTTTGAAAAATAATGCTGTCTTGAAAACAATCTCTATTGGACTGAGTTTGCTGGGGGAAATCAAATCCAAGGCTTAATTTCCACACAGTATTCAAGTTATTGCTTGATGCTATGGCAGCATAAAACTCTCTTTGAATGGAAAATCTGACCAACTTCTATGAGGTAAATGAATTTTAAAAGCAAGTGTGAGTGTGCGTCTGGGGAAGTACAAAACTTTTTTTTTTTTTTTTCTGAGAGGGAGAGGGGAGGATACTAAAAGTTCTAATAAAACATGTTAGCCAGAATAGAGAACTAAAACACTCTCCGGATCATGGCTACTCCAGCAGAGCGACTTCTGCAACCAGGCACTGGGGGAACCCTTGCTTTGGGTGACAAGGTGACTGGAGAAAAGACGCACTTCACAGCCACTCAGTGCCCAGTGATCCCCTGTTAAGTCGAGCCTTTCCGAAGACCACCCCCCACCCCCGGGCGGGAGCCGGGCGGCCAGGCGCAGGTCCAAGGGGGAGGCAGAGAGGTCGAGCATCAGGCAGGCGCCTCCCAGGCAGCGGCGGACCAACCAGCCCCTGGGACCCGGGCCCGAAGCTGGGGCGATAAACTCCCAACTCCCGCAGGTCTCTCCCTTCCCGGGCCTCCGCTGCAGGTCTGACCCCCCCTTCCCCGCGCAGCTGCCGCCCGCCCAGCGCGTCCCGGATCCCGGGCCTCCCCGCCCTACGCCGAGCCCCCGCGAGGCTGCGCTTCCCGTAAACTCCCCGCCCCGCGCGGCCCCCTCCCCGCCTCAGTACCACCCCCGCGGGAGGCTAGGCGGCGTGTGATTGGCCCGGCTGCGCCGTCACTCTCCAGGCGCGTCACCGCCCTCGTTTCCTACCGCCGGGGGACCGGCAGTGGCAGTAGTGCTCGCGCGGCCGCGGCGGAGGGCATCGTGCCGCTGCTCCTTCGCACTCACCCGCGGGCCCGCGCACCGCCCACCTGAACTGCGGCCAGGGCTGCAGGGAAGCCGAGCTGCACGCTCCGCCACCGCCTGGGAGGGAGAGTCAGCTAGTCCCAGCTCGGACATGGAGAGCTGGCGAAGTTGACGAGCCCCCAACCCACGCTGCACCCCTCTCGCCCAGAGGTGCGCTGCCCCCTCCAGGAGGTGTCCGCACACGGCCCTGCCCCAGGTGTGCGCTGGCCATCCCGCCCCCTGAGGACCTGAAAACTTCACCCCAAGTCCACAGTGTGGGCTCCGAGGGCGGTGCCCAGAGCTGGACTTCGGGTTTGCGGTGGGCGATTTTGAGTTTTGACTGGCGGTTCCTGCGGCTGTCGGAGGGCGGAAACCCTGTGGAAACTTTCCCATCAACCTCGTAATCACTAGGTTTCACTGTTTTCTCTTTCCGCAGGGGCTGCAGCCAGTGGTTTGCCGCGCGTGCTTGCTTGCCCACGGAGCCGCGCCAGAGAGAAGATCGAGAGGGGAGTTGTTTCCCCGGGGGATACCTGCAGCCCAGCCGCGGGGTCTGGACGGCCTGGATGCGCTGGACCCAGACCCGCAGCCGCTGACGCCCGGCAGCGGCGAAGTTTGGCGGCTGAGTGGCGCGGCGCGGGTCCACTGGACAGCCGGCCGCCCTGCGGCCGCGGCGGCGGGAGCGATGCCCGTGGGGGGCCTCTTGCCGCTCTTCAG